ACAACGAACTGGTACTCATGTTCCCCCAGCTGCAGCATAGTGCCAGGTTGGCTCCAGTGACGAGGACATAGGGGGGGATGACGATAATGAGGTCACTGATGTCACTTGGGTGCCTGATCGAACAGAGGAGGAAAGTGAGGAGGAGGCACAATCCCAAAGAGGCACAATGTCCTCTACGAGCAACCGTAGCCAATCCATTGCATCAGAAGGCAGAGCTGCACAGGTGCAGGGCGCTGTTGTCTCGCAACACACGTCCAGGAACTCTGCTGTCTGGGAGTTTTTCACGACATGTGCAGCAGACCACAGCATTGCTATTTGCAAGCTTTGTCTCAAAAGGATCAAGCGTGGCAAAAACATCAGCTGCTTGGGTACCACGTGCTTGAGGAGCCATATGACCACCTGCCACGCATCCCTTTGGCACAGCACTTCCCATCGGTCCTCATCTGTCTCTACCCCCACTATATCTCATGCCATGTCCACAACCTCCACTGACAGGGATGATGTTGTAGTAATGGGTTTACCAGGTCCTTCCTTTAAATCTGCCAGCGGCCCAACAGCTGCAGATTTTCGCAGTCAAATTTCGCTGCCCCAGTTGCTGCAGCGGAAGAAAAAATATTGTCCCACCCATCCACATGCACAGCGTCTAAATGCCAGCTGGGCCAAATTACTTGCGTTACAGCTGCTGCCTTTCCATCTGGTGGACTCTGCCCCCTTCCGTGACTTTGCTGAATGTGCTGTACCACAGTGGCAGGTACCAAAGCGACATTACTTTTCATGAAAGGCCATTCCAGCACTCTACCAGCATGTGGAAGGCAATGTTTTGGCCTCGTTGGAAAAGGCAGTCAGCAGCAAGGTCCACATTACTGCCGACACGTGGTCCAGCAAGCATGGACAGGGCCGGTACATTTTGTTCACGGCACACTGGGTAACTCTGCTAGCAGCTGGGAGGGATCCAGGAGGTGGCTCTGTGCTGAAGCTTGCTCATCCACCACGCCTCCAGAAAGCTGCTGATATGAGGTCTGTCTGCTCCACCCCCTCCTCTTCGTCCTCCGCTGCAGATTTCTCCGGCGAAGCGGCAGTTCACCCGAAGCGTGCCAGGGACTACGCAACGGCTCAAGCTAAAAGATGTCATGCTGTGCTTGAGCTGGTTTGCTTAGGGGACAGGAGCCACACCGAGGCAGAGTTTCTGTCAGCTCTGCAGGGGCAGGCCCAGAGGTGGCTAACACCACGCCATCTTGAGCCGGGAATGGTTGTCTGTGATAATGGCAGCAACCTTCTCTCCGCCCTACGCCTTGGTAAGTTGACGCATGTTCCATGTCTGGCACACGTGCTAGATTTGGTGGTACAGCTTTTCCTAACTAGGTACCCAGGGCTGGCAGAGCTTCTCAGGCAGACCAAGAAAGTCTGCAGCCACTTCAGACGGCCATACCCAGCAAGTGTTCGCCTGGCTGAACTTCTAAGGGAATTCCACCTTCCCACAAACCGTCTGATCTGTGACATGCCCACCAGGTGGAACTCAACATTGGCAATGCTGCAGCATCTGCACAAGTAGCAGAGGGCCATCAATGAATACTTGTGTGAGTATGGCACAAGGACAGGTTCAGGGGACCTTGGTTTTTTCCCCCCCGTCAGTGGCTGCTGATTAAGGATGCATGTACTGTACTGTCACCATTTGAGGAGGCGACGAGGATGGTGAGCAGGGACAGTGCATGCATCAGTGACACGATCCCTTTGGTGTTCCTGCTGGAGCACACTCTGCGGGGAATTATAGAAGTGGCACTAGATGCAGAGCAGCGGGAGGACGAGGAGGACTTCCTTAGCTCTCAATGCCCTCTTTACGCAGACAGCATTCCTGCAGGTCCGCAGATCAGACAGGAGGATGAGGAGGATTATGTCAGCTGCGGGGGCATTGAAGGTGAGGATGACATAAGACATGCTTCAAGGGAGGGTTTTGTGTCACTGGAAACCCAAGGAGTAGTACGTGGCTGGGAGGAGATAGTGCACGATAGTGCCATCCTCTGTGACCAGGAAGACTCGGAAGCTAATGCCTCCTCCAACTTACGCTGCATGGGCTCCCTTATCCTGCAAAGCCTGCTAAAGGACCCCAGGATTCGTAGGATCAAGGAGAGGAATCATTACTGGTTAGCAACCCTTCTTGATCCACGATACAAGCGTAAGGTTGCAGAGCTCATCCTGCCCTCACAAAGGGAGCACAGGATGAAACATCTGGAGGATGCTCTAAAGCGAAACTTGTGTAACACCTTTCCAAGCACTGGTAGGTTACCAAGTGATGAAAGAGGTGCTTCTGAGGCTGCGGTTGGTCAGAGGAAGAGCGGTGGAGAAGGGGGCCACTTGACTGATGCCTTGCATAATTTTTTTAATCCACAACGCCCAGGGATGTTACATTTAGGCACCCATCGCCAGCGTCTTCACCATATGGTGCAGGACTACCTAGGGGCAAGGGCAAACCTGGATAGCTTTCAAGGGGATGATCCACTGGCTTACTGGGTGCTGAGATTGGATCACTGGCCAGAACTTAGCCAATATGCCATGGAGCTACTGGGCTGCCCTTCAACCAGCGTGCTTTCTGAAAGGACATTGCTGCTGGAGGTTTTGTCACAGACAAAAGAGTGTGTCTGTCCACAGACTCTGTAGACCGGCTGACATTTATTAAAATGAATCAGTTCTGGATCAGCAGCAGCTATCACTCCCCTGATGCTGATGTTACTGAATAGATCGGGGATCTCTGCATTCGGAAGACTTCCCAGGCTGCCTACGCTGGTGGGAGATTATTATGTATTCTTCAACTTAGATTCTCGGTGTCGTGTACCACCGACTAATACACAATTTTTCCGCACTTGCATGTGACAAGTGTATACCATTTCAATATTTGACCGCAGGGTCCAACCCTGCACTCTTCTGGAATACCTTTGGAGGGTTACGGTGTGAAGGCACTAGCTGGCACCAAAGGCCCAATATTTGGGTGCACTGACCGGTGTACCGGATGCATACAATTTCAATATTTGACCGCAGGGTCCAACCCTGCACTCTTCCGGAATACCTCTGGAGGGTTACTGTGTGAAGGCACTAGCTGGCACCAAAGGCCCAATTTTAAAGCACCTGTTGTTACTTGCATCCAAAGCCTGCAAAAGAGGCACCATAAGTTATCCAAAAAATCACTAAACTTGTTCCGAGTGTCCTAAAACGTGTCCTCTTCAAACAGGCTGTCGCCCCAAGCAGTTGTTTTGTTTAATAGATTAAAGGAAAACCAATTACCATCAATTGAAATTTAATTTTTTTCTTTTTCAATGTCCCTTTTTGCTGCAGCAGGTTCTATACATCCTACAGATCCACCACTTCACAGACAGGTTATGGGGACCCCCAGGCATGATATTTACAGGAATTTTTAATTTTTACTCTTACCCTGTAAGTCATGTAAAAATCACAAAATCACTGTTGCTTTAAAAACGTTTTTTTTTTTTTAAATTTCATTGATTCCTGTCATTCGGGGCACTACCTGGATCCCCATACACTTGCATTTAAGGCTTGAAAATGGGGACATTTGATTTTCAATGTTCTACCCCAATAGATTTGCATTGCGTTCGAGTTCGTATTCGAGCAGCTTTGGAACAGCTTGAGATTGGGTCAGAATCATGATTGACCTTAGCCCAAAGCTTATCCCTAGTTCTAACTTTTACACATTCTATCCAGTCTATTAAATCACGTGTGTGATAATTGGAAACTCTCTAGGAGGTTTGTGATGCTGCAATGTCATCAACGGGAGTAGAGGTAGGATGATGATGAGAAGTTGTCCACATGTTGGAGCGTTGGTAGCTGTGTTGGTGATGATGTGGCTATACGTCATCTATGGTGATGTTGGTCGAGATGAACAAGTTGAACAACTTTCTGAAAGATTACCAGTACAAAACCATCCAGTCCAAATATAGCTATCTGACAGCAGCAACTTGTTCATCTTGACCAACATCACCATAGATCACAGACAGCTGCATCATCAACAACACAGCTACCAACGCTCCAACATATGGACAACTTCTCATCATCATCCTACCTCTACTCCCGTCGACGACATCGCATCATCACTAACCTCCTCGTGAGTTTCCACTTATCACACACGTGATTTAATCTTCTGCATACTCTCATCTGTATCATTGTTTTCACTCCCCTCTCCAACTCCCTCCAACATCTCCACTCTAACGTGAAAAGGATTGGTCAGCATCATCACGCTAATCCTCAACACCAGCACTACAAACGTGGCCAACCATTCTGACCAATCTACACCACATGCCTCTACCTATCACAAAGTTTTTTTGCCTGACATTGACAAAGTGAGCCTATGCTGTTGGGTTTGAACACCCCTTTGGAATTTTTTGAGATTTTGGTGATTTTTGATAATTTCTCTGATTCCTCTGATTTCCTACTACTTTGATTTCCCCTGGCAGGGGGCCCCCCTTGTATTTATTTTGAACTGTGCTGTACAGTACAGCCTGTGCAGAGACCAGTGTTGTGGGAGGGACTCAGCAGGCCCCACCCACTACAGACTGCATAAGGAAAACTACAGTAGGGGGTGGATACAAGACCAGTCACCCTGCACAAGGAGAGAGAGCAGAAGTGGCTGGTCTTTATTACAGGAAGTTTCTGCACAGAGACAAGATTTCACACTGCACAGATCTGAAATTAATAAATAAATCACTCATCAAGGTAAGACTACACATACCTCTAGTAATAAGACAATATTTTCTTACTCCGAGGTTCAGTTTTAGCAATTTTAGATGTCTGTAGATAATGATGCCTATCATTTTTTTCATTCCATTTCTCTTGTTATGGTTTACTTTATTAAGAAAATACACCTATAAAGAGAATTCCATTTTTATAGTAATAAAGTAAATCCTTTGCTAAGAGAATTACAATTTCTGTTTCCAGTGTGATAAAGGTATTCTGCTCAAGGTTAGAAGTATTAACAGTATTTATATTTCATTCAGGTACAAATCAGCTGTGCCAGGAGGGACATTTGTCAGACATTCAATGTCAGCTCTGTACAGACGCAAGGAGATGCTGATTTCTTCATCAACCAACTTGGAATTCCTGCAACTCAGTTTATTTTTGAAGATAATAAAACCAAGGTATTCCAAAATGTAAACATTCCCAAGATAATTGTAATGTAGGTGTTTGAGTTTACTGGGCCCAATTTACTAAAGATTATGCATGTAATCCAGTACAATTACCATGTATCCTCACAGTAGTTTCTATGCAGTAACACATACAGGCTACAGTGTGCATATGCTGAATGTATTAAATAACTACTATGGAATGTTTTTGGGTCTGTCTAGCCACTGTCCCTATTTTTAAATGTACATAACATGTAGAAATAAAACCACATTAAGTGCACACTGCTATCATTAAAAGAGGACTATAGCCAAAACTTTTTTTGGCTTTAGTTCTCTTTTGGGTCACAGGAGTACATTTACTAATGTACTCCTGTGATCCAAACTCAGCATATAGCGGGGTATTGCCCTCTATATGCTGGCAGCGCAGAGCTGTGATACAGCCGGGAAAGATGCTGACATTATTGTTGTTATCCACCCGCCCTGCCTGATTGACAGTTGGCTCTGCCTCGTTAGAGCCAGAGCAAGCTATGCCTGCCCCCTTCCATTCCTGTCCCTCCAATGAACACTGGAAGAATAGAGAGAGGGGAGGGAGGAATTCCTGTGGGGGATGGTGACTGACAGGTAACACTCTTTGCAGGGAGAAACTGAGGGATCAGCAGTTTGTGATCACTCAGATCTTGAGCTATAAAACCAGCGTGGGACAGCTACAGTGTCAAACACATACTCAAACTATTGGGAAGAGTACATTTTACTCTTTCAATAGCTCTCCTTTAACCCCTTCATGACTGAGCTTGTTTTCAGTTTCTGTTCATAAATGACTCACACACTTTTAAATTTTTTGCTGTGTGATTCTTCCATGGCAGTAATATACGTTCTTACTAAATGTACCCACACATATTATATATTGTTTTTTAGAGGACAGATAGGGCCATATAATTATATCATACACGTGTACCTAATGCCTCACTTAGTTCGAATAACATATAAAACAAATGAGGAAAAAACTTAAAGAAAACACTTTTTTTCACAAGTTTTGATTATTATTATTATTTTTAGACATTTTTATAATAACTATAGTATAAAAAATATATTTATAAATAATTTTTATTTTCTTAATTCCTTTTACACTTTTGTCAGTTTATATCAAGCAGTCACTATGACTGCTTGATAAATTAACTTGTTTCATTTTTTGTTATTATTAGGCTGCTCCAAACTCTGAACAGCTAATAATAACTGTAGAGACTGATCCTGACAGCATGTCAGAATCAGATCTCACTGAAAGTTTCTGATCGTGCCCAGACAAACAGAAGTGATACATTTCAGGCACAGAGATGCATTGTAACATTGTGCCTGAAATGTATCACACATCTTTATAAACATCGGGCCAGTCTATGGAGCTGTCAAAATGAATAGCAGAGAGGTCACTCACTCTACTACCTCTCTGCTATCTTCAGCTGTCAAATATCGGATCGCTATTTAGCGATCCGGTATTTGTACGTAACGGCTTCATTTTTTCATTAATGAAAGAAAGAAACTTTTTTCTTTCAAAAGGTTTTTATTTGTTTTAAATGCATGTAACAATGATCACACTTTCACATTCAGTGTGCAACACAATGCAATATCAAATAAAGTGTTCAAACTCAGGTTTCCATATTATAATGGTACAGTCAAACAGTGCAGTCCTCAAGGACTACATACAAATGGTATAAGTACTACGAACATCTTTACGATAACTTTGGGACCAAGGTTCAGAGGCTAAGTATGAAGTGACTGGTTCCAAATAGGGAAAAGGAATGGAAGAGGGTGGGGGTATATGGGGAGAGGTTGGGATAGGAGGAAAGATCTGTGTTTTATTAAAGCTTCCGTTATTGAGATATCAAAGGATCAGGGATTCCATATCAAAGGAGGGAGGATGGTATGACTCAATCCATGGCTCCCACAGTTTACGAAATGATACCAAAGTATCCCTTTGGAGAGCAGTAAGTTTTTCAAAGAACATCACTCTCGATACTCTACGTTTGACCTCCGCAAACGGTATGTCCGGGGACTTCCAAGCCTTCACAATCACCCTCTTGGCTTCAGTGAGTATGAAAGTGACCAGACGGTGTTGCCTAATAGTGCATACCGACGGTTTCTTATGTAGTAGGGCTTCCAAGGGGTCCTTGCGAAATGTTTTGCCTGTGACAGTGTACAGAAGTTGGTATACTCTATGCCAAAATCTCTTCACTTTAGGGCAATCCCACCAAATGTGATGAACTGACCCCTCCACCCGGCAGCCCCTGAAACAGTTTGGTGAGTAGGACGGCATGGCTCTGGAGATCCTGAGGGGTACCAGATACCACCGGAGGATTAGCTTATAGTTGGCTTCAATTGCCTGAACATTTGCTGAGCTCCGAGAGGTTGTCATCCAAATTTGAGACCATGTTTCAGCAGAGATAGAGCAGCCCAGATCCTGTTCCCATTTGGAGGCATATGTAGGGAGAGGTGTCTGTATGTGGTCAAGAATCATAGTATATAAAACTGAAATGGGCCCTCTGCTTTTTGTGTCATTGAGTAGGAACTCCTCAAATGAGGTGAGGGAGGGAAGGGAATTTGACTTATCCAAAAGAGTTTATATGTAGTGTTTGATTTGCAAATATTGAAAGATGTCTCGTGGGGACAATTGGTGTTTGGCTTGAAGCACCGGAAATGGGATGATGTCAGTGTCTGAACAGAAATCTCTAAGTAAACTTAGGGACTTGACGCGCCAATGTGCGAAGGCTACTGGGCTGGTGTATCCCGGCTGAAACATTGGGTTACCATGAATGGACCGCAGAGGTAGCTGAAGGGAGACCCAGTTTAAGTGACGGTGTAATCCTTCCCAGACTTTTAGGGTGTGCGTGAGAATTGGGTTCTTCAATGTTCTGCCTATTTTGGGGGGAAGCCAGGGAAGGTTGAGGAGAGAAATTGGGGAACAAGCATAGGCCTCTAATGAGACCCACAGTGGCATTTCGCCTTTCCCATACCAGGACACCAAAGGGGTCAGTTGGGCTGCCTGATAATATTTGTGGAAAGAGGGGAGTCCTAAGACCCCTCTCACTTTGCTCCGGTACAGAACCAATTGGGAGACCCTAGGAATTGACCCCTTCCATATGAAACTAAGTATACGGCGCTGTAATTGTCTAAGGCGATAAGAGGGGATAGGAACGGGTAGGACCCTAGCATGGTATACGAATTTGGGGAGCAGGGTCATCTGAACTGCTGTGATTCTACCAAGCCACGATATTGGATGTTTCTCCCATGATGTCAGTAGGGTTTCCGTGTAAGAAAATAGTTTGGGGTAGTTAGCTTGATACATCTGGGCATAAGTTGGAGTAAGGTGGATCCCCAAGTATGGCAATTCAGAGTGGGCCCATTGATATGGGAATGACCTTTGCAAGGAGGTGAGTACCGAAGGGGGATGGGAGACATCTAGTGCTTTAGATTTATTCATGTTCACGAAGAGACCCGAGAGGTTGCCGAATAGCTTTAGTAGTGGTTGGAGATTAGGGAGTGAGATCAGCGCTTCTGTTAGAATCAACAATGCATCATCTGCAAATAAGCTAATTTTATGATGGTACCCTGCGACTTCAAGACCTTTAATGTCAGTATGTTGCCGTATTGCCTGTGCCAGGGGCTCTATGGCCAGAGCAAAAAGGAGGGGGGAGAGAGGGCACCCCTGTCTGGTCCCTCTAGTAATTTCAAAAGAGTCGGAGTGGAATCCTTGATATTGTATGTAGGCTGTCGGTTCGGAATATAACGCCCCTATCCATCTCATAAAGTAGTTTCCAAAACCCCATCTGAGAAGTGTATAATTCAAATATTCCCAGCTCACTGAGTCAAATGCTTTACTAATATCTAATGCCAGAAGCATAGTGGGAATATTTCTTTGATGTGATATATGGAGTAAATGGGATATCCTGTGGACACTGTCACCCGCCTGACGACCCAGCATAAAGCCCATTTGATCCTTGGATATCAGACCCAAAAGAGGAGATCTGAGGCAAAGGGTCAGGATTTTGGTAAGTATTTTCAGGTCTGCATTGATTAGTGAGATTGGGCGGTAGTTGGTGCAGGACGTGTGATCAGTGTCCGGTTTGGGTATCATACATATGGAGGATAGAAGCGATTCTTTTCGCAGTTCACTCCCTGTGCGTAAAGCATTAAAACACTCCGTCATAGGAGCTGCTAGGGTTTCAGTGAACTTTTTGTAGTAGGCAGCGCCAAGGCCATCCGGCCCAGGGCGTTTCCCAGTGCTAAGGTGTTTAACTGTGGCAGTAATCTCAGTTATTGTAATGGGGGAGTCAATCAGCTGTACATGTTCCTCGGAGAGGGTGGGAAGGTTTAAGGTAGCGAAAAATGTGTCTAATTTAGATTTATTTAGGGTGCCTGTGGCACGGTAAAGATTTTGTAAGTGGGAATGAAAAGCCTTTAATATTTTGATGGGATGGGAAGTAATAGGGGTCCCCCCCAGACATAGCTGGATAGGGTTTTTTCTGGGATTAGCTTCCCAAAGTCTATGGGCAAGCATTGTGTCTGGTTTGTCTCCTTTGATATAAAACCTATGTTTGGTCCAGGCCAATTTATCGTTTGAGAGATGTGTTAGGCAAAGATTAAGTTCTGTTCTTATATGGAACAAACGTGATCTGTGTTCGGGGGTGGGTCTCTGTTGAAAATTTTGGGATGCCACTAGCAGATCGGATTCCAATTGGTCAATGCGAGATGTCCGTTTCTTTTTGGCTTGGGATGCAAGCTGGATCAGCCGACCTCTAATAGTAGATTTATGAGCCTCCCACACTGTTATCGGTGGAGTGACCCCGTCAGTGTTTAACTGGAAGTATTCAGTCAGGGAGGCCTGGGTCGAAGCTAGAATATCAGGGTTGGTAAGTAAGGAGTCTCGCAGAGACCAAGAGAAGCTGTGTGGTCGGGGGATAGTTAAAGCGAGCATAATAGTAACTGAATCGTGATCTGACCAGGGGATTGGAGTGATTTCTGCT